GTCATGAGAGATCTCCAAACCCAGATATCGCCGCATTTCTCCCAGGTCAGTACAGGCGTGTCTCCTGAGTAGCTCGGCCTTCACTGAGGCTAGTGTGACCTTGTCTGGTGTAGCAATGATGAGGTTGTCTACGTACAAAAGGATGTACAAATGAAGAGTGAGGGGTCAGCACAGGATGGGAAGAACTGAAGAGCTGCTAATGTAATGCAGAGCACATCATGCCATTCAAGTGGCACCTGCTGTAGACTGTAGACAGGGCGCCATAGGCTCCACTATGTCCCAGGTGGGAATGACCCGGTGAAGTCTGGTGGGCACCGCAAGTAGATCTGCTCATGTAGGCAGCCCTGCGAGAAAGCTATCGAGATGTGCAAAGAGTCGAGATCGTAGTCACGCTGTAAGGCTATGCGGAGAAGCACCCAAATAGTAGTCAAATTTGGGGTTGGAGAGTAGGTATGGAAGAAGTCCACAACCTTACGTGGGTTAAAGCCTCTGGCCACATACCGCGCCTTGACTTGCGGCAACTCTCCAGGTGGGCACTTCACCTTATAGATCCACATGCCACAAACTATGTTTGCCCTAAGGGGGGGAACCGCGTCAATGTTAGTGCCATTGATTCTATAACGTGCCATCTCTACCTCCATCGCCTGTATCCACTGGGCTGCCATGGCCCCGAGACCGCCTCAACGTACGAGTGCGGGGCAGGAATGTCCAAGGCGTCCGGGTCATCCCCAAGGGACACTAGCATGGCGAAGGGATGAGGTATAGCAGCAGCAAGGAAAGCCATCTCATACTGCCTATCCTCTAGGACGTCACTGCTAAGGGCACGTGCACCCCCAACGGACGGAGGATGGGCAGGGTCAGAGACCAAAGCGGAGGCGTAGTCAAGGAAGTGGCGCACAGCAAAGTGAGCAACATCAGCGACAAGGGCAGAGACGCCGGTAGGAGGAGTTGTAGGGTCCGTAACAAGAGAGGCAAGTAAGCGGGTAACACATACACTAATATAACCGAGAATAAACCAAATAACCACTTTGGATAAAATAATCCGAATGAATAAAATGAGTATTCTAGGTAATCAAGAGTGTCCTAGGAAAGATAGAAATAGTCCTTTCTCCAAGGAAACCTATCTTGCTCTCACAGCGGGAGACCAATGGGTGAGCAGTGCGAGCAGAGTAAGAGGGAAGAGCGGAGGAAAGGGGTAGGGATGACGGAGGAGGTAACGATAGGATAGAGACAGGAGGAGCATGAGGACAAAAGACCATAGGGTGGACACGAGCACGAGGAGAGACAGGATGACCACCAGGAGGGCGACGCACCCACGGTTGGGCAACGGGGAATGACACAGGGGACGGAGGAGAAAGTAGGGGGAAACAGGCTGGAGATGAGTCCAGGGGAGGGAACAGCAGACCGTAGACGTGGGCAGACAGGACGGGAGGTGCTATGGGAGGCACGGGCTGGCGGTCAAGGGAACTAACGGAAAGGCCGAGAAGACGAAGGGCAAACTGCGGCTGGGCCTGCTACTACTGCTGATGCTGCTGCTCGTGGAGCTACTGCTGCTGCTGCTTCTGGAGGTGCTGCTGCTGCTGCTGCGGCTGCTGCGGCTCCCGGCCCCAACCCCACCACTGCCACCGCCAGTACTCTCTGAGTCAGCACCCCTAGGACTAGCATCCCAGAACCAGCACCCCCAGAGTCGGAACCCCCAGAACCAGCACCCCCAAAACCACCACCCCTAGGGCCCACGGTCCCCCGCCACTACTGCTGCTGCTGCGGCTGCAGTGACGGCTGCGGTGGCTACTGCTGCTGTGGCTGCCGCAGTGGGGGAGGCTGCTGAGGCTGAGCTCCCAGAGTCAGCAGACTCCCCCACAGGCCCAACCGAGGGGAGGGGGTTGGCGTGGGGGACACCAGACGAAGCCGAACGGGGTAGGAGGGGAGTGACAAGCGGGACAGGGGCGAGGACAAGAGGGGGAGGAGGAACACGAGTGCCACAGTGAGGGAAGCGACCATAGTAGGAGACAGACTTGTCAAACGTAACGATACGGGAGCGAACAAAGCGGTGCTACAATAGATGGTAGAACAGCTAGTTAGGAGTGTCGAGCGGGAACCCGAGGAATACACAGTGTAGAGTGCGGGTCGAGAGCTTGTCCGCACTGGTGGTGTGATCGTAAGCCAAGCAGCCTTACGTGTGGAATGCAGACGCATCACCAGGGGACCCAGTCTAGAGGAGGGTCGGGGAAACATGTGGCCGCGAGGTGTTAGACTACAGTTAAGCTGGTGAGCCGCATACCACACCGCGAATGGCCACAGAAAATGGGGGGCACCGGCATGGACCATGGAGGTACGAGCCACCACTATGATCAGGCCGATGCGCCGCTGAGCGACCCGATTCACCCTCCGCATGGCAGAACGCTCCAAGACAGCCAAAGGCAAACTCACCATCACGGTCGGAGTGAAGGCGCAGCACGGGCAGGGAGTTCTGGGTGCAAAAGACTTGGAGGCACGAAAGGAGGGCGTTAGGCACGTCGGCCTTACGCTCCAACAAGAACATCGTGGTATAGCGCGAAAAGTCATCTACAACAACCAAGAAGTAGCGCTCCCTTGGAGGCTCAGGGACGAGGGCGAGGCCCCAGAAGTCTATGTGTTGGGTCTGGAGCAGTGCAGTGGCCAGAGGAAAAGAGGAGTGAGGGGTTGCACGCTACACATGGACGCTACCGAGGCGGAGAGGGCGAGGAGCGGCGCGGGGAGCGACGCGGGGAGACCAGGCCGTGCTGTGCCATATGACGGAGATGTGAGACGGCAAGGTGAGGCTGCAGCACCTTGGGTGGACGCATCTACCTGGGGGGACTCCGTGTGCAGTGTGAAGAGACCTGACGCTGGGTCATGAGCTAGGTGGACGCCCGTGGCTGCGTCCGTGTGTGGCGTGTGTGGCCTAGAAAATGTGGTGGTGACACCGAGGTCCTGAAAATGACCAACACCAACCAGATTCATGGCACACGTAGGGACGTGCACGCCGGTATGGGAGCCGGACGGGACAACTGGACAGGGGAGGGCCGTGGTGCTGCAAGCGACGACAGTGTCAGGCGATTCTGCTAGGGAGACTGGTACCGGTGCCGGAAGCAGTGTGAGAATAGTGCGGTATCGGAAGAAGTAGTGAGATGCTCTAGAGTTGATTGTGAAGGAGAGGGCCGCCGCAGGGAGGGCCGGTGGGGGAACAGTAGGGGATCCAAGACTACACATGACAGAGGAGCCTAGATTATACACACATAATAATAAGAACCCACAGAGGAGCCACTCAAACCCCAGGGCACCGACTGACCCGGGGCCCAACAACCAAGGCCCCCACCATGCCCAACACTCCCAGGGCCCACCAGCCCCCACTGCCGATGCCCCACGTCCATGAGAGCACCGCGAATGACCAGAAGAGTGATCAGGCGCAGTGACCGCCGTAGCAGTCTCAGCAATAGAGGCGGAGGCCGCAGGGACAGGGAGCTGAGGCGAAGGGCTGCCCTGAAAGATAGGGATTGCCATCATGCCAGTGGTCTGAGCAATGGCGCAGAGGCAGGTCTCTACCTAAGTTAGGGAGGTGGAGAAGAGGCCAATAGTGAGGTCGGCAGGGTGCAGTGTAAGTAGGGTATTGCGCGCAAAGGCGAGGCGGTCAGGGAGGCAGGTGGCGAGGAAGTAAAGTGTGATGGGGGTGGGCAGGGGAAGCGCGGTGAGCTAGGCCTCGGTGCAAGCTGAATGGCAGCGGCCCTCGAGGGAGCGCAGGTGCAAGATGAGGTCTGCGACCGTGGGGAAGGAGGTCAGGTTGTGGAAGAGGAACGGGAGGAAGAGACGACCGAGAGTGGCGGAGGACGGGGTCGAGTAGCGAGCGACGATCGCGTCCTAGAGGGCCTGAGCCGTCTCCTCCAACGCGAAGTGCGAGTGCTCGTCGACCGGCAGGCATCGGGTGATGGCAACCTGCACGGCGGCATTGCGTGACTCCCAGATGGAGAGGGGGTCCTCGCAGCCTCGTAATGTGCACGCTGCTCCGACATCACCTCGACGGCAAGGGGAGCAGGGCGGGAGGGGGCGGGCAGCTCATCAGTGATGTAGGCCGCGAGCGACTCGCCCTCCACACGCTGGCTTGTCAGTTGCTTGCGCAGGGCGGAAAGCCAGGCTGCAAAGCCAGGCCGAGAAACCGATTGCGCGGCCTTCGGCATCCAGCCGAAGGACGAACACCGACGCCGACGGGGCCACCATGCCGGCAGGAGACCAAGATGCCATAGGTACCCGGACAGCGGCTGGTGCTGACGAGGGCGGCGTACGTCGGCAGATCCGACGGCAGCGGCGGTAATGGGGCTGGCAGGTCCAACGACAAGTCTAGCCCCTCTTACTATGCTCGTTTTCGGCGGTAGGGCTGGCGACAGTTGCGCGGCGAGAGAGCAGCAGGCGGTTAGGGATGGGTCGGCAGCTAGGAGCTAGCGAACTAGGTGACAGGTGCTGGCGACTAGCGGCGAGCTACGGCGCTGGCGGCTGCGGCTTCGGCTGTGGCGTAGGCGGCGGCGGCTGCGACTGCGGCTGTAGCTGCGGCTGCGGCTGCGGCTGCGGCAGCGGCTGTGTCGTTGGTGGCTGTAGCTGCGACGTTGGCTCCGGCAGCACTGGCAGCTGCGGCTGCGGCGCTGGCGTGCGAACGCACGCGGGGGCGAGCGAGCAGGTAGCAAGCCGGCGGCGAGCAGGCAGCGGCAGACGGCGAGCAGTGGGCGGCGAGCTAACGGCAGACAGCACGCGGCGAGCAGGCGGCAGGCAGCTGGCGACGGGTGTGGGACGTGCGAGCGCGCTATGGTGCGGTGGGGCGCGAGCACGGGCGCGGCAGAGCGAGGCCTACGGACCTACGGTGCGCTTGGGCTAGGGCTAGGTCGAGAGGTGAGCGGGGACTACTTAGGGCGGAAGTGCGGAGGCTAAGGTCGAACCTATCTCTGGTACCATGTCAAAATGAAAGAACTGAGTGGTTGAGACAGAAACAGGACAGGGTTCAAGTATTGGGGTTGACCCCACTACAGTCGCGTGGCACATATATACATGTGTATATATATAATATATGTACATATATATATAAAATATGTACGCTATGAATCTATGATTTATTCTGATTGACTAAAAGTTGAGGTGGTGCATTTGGGGCTGCTTCACCTGACTGGCTGATGGCCTCAGCGATCATCTCTTGCTTGTTTGCGTAGTGGGCTTGTTTGCCTTCTTTGCGAACTTTGCACATGAGCAGTACACTCTTGGCGCTGCTGGTAAGTACTGAGTAAGTTATTAGCTGCTCCCACCACTGCATCTGATCTGCTATTACTGTTGCATCCCTCCTACTCCCACAATTGCAGCCATGCGTTTGCTGCCGAGCGCCTCTCCGCTACCCAACTTCTTTTGCTGCAATCCCACTCGTCTCTCCTGCCCCTGCCCCTTGCATGCCTTCGCCTTCCCACCCTCTGCACTATCCCTGCCCCACTCCTTGTTACTGCTGCTTCTCCACCTCCATCCTCCTGTCTCTGCCCTGCACCACATTCTTTTCCCCCCTCCCTGAGAGGGTTCCCAGACCACCTAACCCCCACCATTCAGGCCCCTACCACCTGGCCCCCCTGCGGCACCTTGTGACGCTGGGCTGCTGGGGGGACGAGCGCCAGAGGGCGCAGCAGAGCCAAGACAGGGTGAGGAAGGGGGGGAGGAAGGTGCAGCGGGGGTGGTGGGGGGAGCAGTGGCTGGGAGGGAAGATGAGGGCGGAGCAGAGGAGGGTGCAGCAGAGGAGGGTGCAGCAGAGGAGGGTGCAGCAGCGGAGGGCACAGCAGCAGCAGGGAGGGAGGCTGGAATTGCAGTGGCAGCAGGGTCAACAGTGGCAGGGAGGGAGAAAGAGGTTGGGGCAGCAGTGGTGCCATGTGCTGGCAGAGGGGCCAAAAAGGAGGGCGCAGCAGCGGCAGGGGGAGAGGATGAAGGCGCAGCAGCGGCAGCACCAGCACTGGCAGCAGCACCTGCAGGAGTACCAGCAGCAGCGCCAGCAGCACCAGCACCGGCAGCAGCACCAGCAGGAGTACCAGCAGCAGCGCCAGCAGCACCAGCAGCAGTGGCTATTGGAGGGGCGGCAGAGCGAGCTCGGGTGGCCTGGCGCACTCCCACCTCCTGCAGGAAACGCACCAGTGGCAGGCTGCCACACCGCCGAGCCTCGTCCAACGGGGTGCTTCCCCACCTGCCAGGGGATTGAGTGGGGACGAGAAGGGAGCAGTGCGGGAAAGAATGAAGCAGCGAGGGATGTGAAGGATGGAGACAGAAGGCGATGAGAAGAGGAGAGTCTCGACACCTACCACTGGCTTGCACTGGTGCCTGTGCACATAAGACAACACTTGGCAAAATCTGCCAGTGTCTTACCTATCACGAGCCGCCACGTCAGCATGGTGGTCCACGAGGAGCCTGGCGACATGCAGATGGCCCTTGATGGCGGCGATGTGCAGCGGGGAGCGCTGGTCGTAGTCCGTGGCGTTGGGGTGCACGCCGTGGGACAGCAGGCGCTGGAGGAGGGCCGTGTCCGCTGCTGTCACTGCACCGCACAGCACTGTGCCTGCCTCCTGTGGGGATAGGGGGAGCAACAGAGATGTGGACGGATGGTGCCGTTTGAAGTGCCTCGAAGGTGCCCGTGGGACAGCAGGCACTGCAGCAGGGCCGTGTCTGCAGCTGTCATTGCTCCACGCAGCACTCTGCCTGCTTTCTGTGGGTGTGGAGTTACGGGGAGAGAGACAGACTCGGGTTGATGGATGACTGACCCATTGTTTCAGTTCACGAGGAACACGCATGACCCGTTATGACCAAAACCGAAACCAAGTCGCAGTGCAAAGCGCATGAGCAGGTCGCAGTGCAAAGCTCATGAGCAAGGCAAAGATGAATGCGCAGAACGAAGATCCACCCAGGACTTGAAAACCAATCCAACCCAAAAGCTGACGATGGCAGGCACTTGCAGCCCCGCACTTGCAGCCCCGCACTTGCAGCCCCGCACTTGCAGCCCCGCACCTGCAGCCCCGCACTTGCAGCCCCGCACTTGCAGCCCCGCACTTGCAGCCCCGCACTTGCAGCCCCGCACTTGCAGCCCCGCACTTGCAGCCCCGCACTTGCAGCCCCGCACTTGCAGCCCCGCACCTGCAGCCCCGCACTTGCAGCCCCGCACTTGCAGCCCCGCACTTGCAGCCCCGCACTTGCAGCCCCGCACTTGCAGCCCCGCACTTGCAGCCCCGCACTTGCAGCCCCGCACTTGCAGCCCCGCACTTGCAGCCCCGCACTTGCAGCCCCGCACTTGCAGCCCCGCACTTGCAGCCCCGCACTTGCAGCCCCGCACCTGCAGCCCCGCACCTGCAGCCCCGCACTTGCAGCCCCGCACTTGCAGCCCCGCACTTGCAGCCCCGCACTTGCAGCCCCGCACTTGCAGCCCCGCACTTGCAGCCCCGCACTTGCAGCCCCGCACTTGCAGCCCCGCACTTGCAGCCCCGCACTTGCAGCCCCATTACACCCCACTTTGCTGGCAAGGATGGCAGCCGCCTCATCGAGCCCCGGCCTCAGCGCCTCCAGCAGCAGCAGGGTGGTGCTGCCCACGCTAGCCCACACTGGATGATAAGACCAAGACCAAGACGAGAGCTCAACACACGCCCCACCTGCAGCCCCACGGTGCCCCCCTTGCTGGCAAGGATGGCCGCCGTCTCGTCGTGCCCCGCCCTCAGCGCCTCCAGCAGCGGCGTGGTGCCGAAGTTGTCCACCGCGTTCACCTGCGCGCCCTCCAGGAGCAGCAGACGCACGAGGTCGTTGTGGCCCCCTGCTGCTGCCAAGTGCTGGTGGCTCTCAGGGAATGAGGGAAATCAGGAGGGAGAGAGAAGGTGAAAGGCAACTGTCCACCGCGCTTACTTGTGCACCCTCCAGCAGCAAGAGATGCACGCGGTCGTTGTGAGCCCCTGCTGCTGCCAGGTTGCTGTTGAGTAGGAGCGAAGGACGAAGGGATAAAGGGAGCACGGCAGTTGTGACCCCCTGCTGCACATGCTCTCAGGATCAGCAACGCTGTAGAGAAAGTACTCTCTTCGATGAAGGCGTGAAAGAGATGCTTCCCCCATCCATGAGAGCCCGCTTGCTAAACACTGAATGACAGCGAGCAACTTATCATCACAAACAAGTGTAGACAACCTCACTTTACCCCATCTCACGGCCCTACCAGTGGGGTGGGTGCGCCTATCGTACTCAGCCCATGCTAGTGCAAACCAGGCCCTACCAGAGGGGTGCAGCCGTCATAGTCAGCCCTGTCTGCTTTAGCCCCCGCCCCCATGAGCTGCTGCATGCCCCCTGTCCCATAGTGCTTACGGCGAGATCAGCGCATACCAGACACATCTGAGCACGCTAGCCCCATCTCACAGCCCTACCAGTGGCGTGCGGCCATCATAGTCAGCCCGGTCCGCCTTGGCCCCCGCCGCCATGAGCTGCTGCAGCTGCTGCATGTCGCCCGTCCACGCCGTATAGATGCCCATGCTAATGCGCACCAGTGAAAAAACAGGCCCTACCAGTGGCGTGCGGCCGTCGTAGTCAGCCCGGTCTGCCTTGGCCCCCGCCGCCATGAGCTGCTGCAGCTGCTCCATGTCGCCCGTCCACGCCGCATAGATGGTGCTCACTGTCAGGTCCGCCTCCTGCGCCGCTACCAGCCCCTCTATCTCCGCCACCAGCCCCGCAAACTTGCTGCCCGCCTCCTCTGAGCGCTGTGGCGAGGAAAAAGGGTACAATAAGTTTTAACGTAAGACACGTGCTCACTGTCAGGTCCGCCTCCTGTGCTGCTACCAGCCCCTCTATCTCCGCCACCAGCCCCGCAAACTTGCTGCCCGATTCTTCTGAGTGCTGTGGCGGTGCAGGGAGAGAGGGGATACAGAGGAGAGGGCATGGGGAGACAGAGGAGAGGGCGTGGGAAGACAGAGGAGAGGGCGTGGGGAGACAGAGCAGAGGGCGTGGGGAGACAGAGGCCCGTCACTGTGAGTGAGATCCACCTCCTGCACCGCTACACTGCCAGCCAACCCCTTGATGTCCACCACCAGCCCTGCAAACGTGCTGCACGCCTCCCCTGGGCACCGTGAGAGAAAAAAGAGGCGGTGGGCCGGAGAGAAGGGGCTCCTCACCGCCAGACCCGCCTGTGTTCCGCTACCAGCCCGCCAGACCCGCCTGTGTTCCGCTACCAGCCCGCCAGACCCGCCTGTGTCCCGCTACCAGCCTGCCAGACCCGCCTGTGTTCCGCTACCAGCCTGCCAGACCCGCCTGTGTTCCGCTACCAGCCCGCCAGACCCGCCTGTGTTCCGCTACCAGCCCGCCAGACCCGCCTGTGTTCCGCTACCAGCCCTGCAAACTTGCTGCGGGACTCCTGTGAGCGCTGGCAGGAAGAGTGGGAGGGATGGAGGAGATGTGGTGAGACGCCTTATGCGCAGGGGAGGCACGCCAGACACGCTGCTGCCTCCAGCCACACACACTCACTGCGGTGAGTCGAGTCAAGATTAACTTCTTTGCTACCACTACCCCACTCATTTGCTGATGGGTGAGTCCATGCTCTAAACTGCACGGGGGCATGGGGGAGGTGGGTCTTAAGGCCCTGTAAAACGAGATGGGAGGGAAGGAAGATTGATAGATGTTTCAGAAGCGTGCGCCAGGCAGCGCAAACAAAACGCTGGAGGAAGGGACGGGAAGAGAGGGCAGGTGGCGGAAGGCTGGCAGGGCAAAGAACCAAGAGCAAGTGTTCGAGTCGAATGGGCAAGAGAAAGAAGTGGCCAACGACCCACCACTCGTGCCTTGAGTAACGCACAGAAATGTGAGCCACACACATGTACACACACTGGCATATCATGCATAACTTACATCACATAGCAGAGCACACCTTAAACGGGACTTCAATCCCCTAGCCTCACCTGCAGAAGGTTGTCCACCATGCGTCTACCATCCACAATAAAGAGCGACGTGACTATAGCGAGGGACTGGCGGTCAATGCGCAACACCTGCATGCATTGTAACAACAAGGAAGTGTGGATCACCACATGACCTCCGGATAACCTCTTTGGCAACGACTGCTAATGGCAGGTCTGCTCACAAAACAGAGTAATCAGCTCGAGAGCAAGGTGCAAAAAAACGGCGTTTTTTTACCTTTTTTGACCGTTTAAAACGGGATCGTATAAAACGGTCGTATAATACGATTAAAACGGTCAAAAGTTGCATTTTGCGTTTGGTGCAAAAAAACGGCCGTTTTATACGACCGTTTTTTTCGTACCACCGTATAATACGGTGCACATTGTTTTTGGCCGAGCTAATAACGCTTAGGGGGGGGAGGACAAGGGGGGGGAGGACTAGGTGGATGACGCTTAGGAGGAGGAGGATGGGGGGGATGGTGGAGTAGGAGCAGAATGAGACCTAGAAGGCGACGGACTAGGGGCATGGAAATCACATACCTGTTTCAAAGCCGCTAATTACCCCGTAGAACGATGCAGGCCGCCTTAGCAATCAGGCCACTTGTTTACGCGTGCTTTTTATACATAAAAAAAAAAATCATGAAAAAAGGTCTAACAAAAAAACGTCGTTTTTTACCAAAACCCACCGTAAAAAACGGCCGTTTAAAACGGACCGTTTAATACGGATGCCGTTTTTTTGCACCTTGCTCGAGAGCATCACAGCTGATTTGGAGTCCAAGTGTTTACAAAAAAATCAGATCTCACCAGCTTTCATCAAAGGAGACATGCAATGATTACGGCTTATCTGTTCTGAACATACTTCACATATTATAATCACTATTCACAAAGTATAGTCACACAGTCACCTGGCAGAGCTCCTTGGCCGTGACTGTGAATGGCTGCAGTATGTTGCACAGCAGCGCCACCTCGCCACACATCTGCAGGGATGGGCAGGGTGGGCAGGGTGGGAGGAGGGTTGGCTAGACAGGAGGGGGGTTGGCAGGGCTGGAGGGGGGTTGGCAGGGTGAGAGGGGGGTTGGCAAGGGAGAAGCGGCGGGGGAGGGGGAAGTGGAGAGGAGGGAGGAAGGTGAATGGGAGGGTATGCAAAGAGCGGACGAGGGGAGACGGGAGGAGGGTTGAGAGATGGGAAGAGGAATGAAAGGGGGTGCAAGGAGGACAAGGGGGAGGAGGGACTGCAGTGAAGCATGGGGAGGAGGAGAGGAGGAGAATGGAACCAAGAAGAATTATGGAAAGCGTGCCAAAAAGGGTTACAATGAGCCCATCACGATGCTCGGGCAAAAAGCAGACATTATCCACTAAACACGCCACGCAAACGGTTTCCCTTCCCAGGCCACTCGTTGCACAAACCACAAACCACAGCACCCCAAGTGTCACTTGCACATCCAAGCAAGTCCAACTCCAAACATTCCTCCATCCACACTATCCCTCCCAAGCCATTCGTCCCCCCTCCAAAGGACACCTCCCACCAACCCATCCTCCCCAAACCCACCCTCCCCAAACCCATCCTCCCCAGTCCCCACCACCCACATTGCCAGCTGTGAGGGTTGCCAGGTGCTCGTCCTTCCCCTCCCCATGCACGCACGAAGCTTCCTGGACGGTGCCGGAGCAGATGACGAACATGTGGTCCGCCGCGTCGTTCTTCTGAATGAGCACCTCCAGCGGGTAGTAGTACTCGGGGGTGGCTCGTGCCACCTGCCATGGCAGCAGTATGGGAGAAAATGTGGTCAAATGAGCACCTCCGAAGGGTAGTGGTACTTGGGGGTGGCTCGTGCCATCTGTTGGAATGGCAGCATGCCAGCACACAATCATGTGAGCAGAGGCTTCTCGTTGCTCTTCTCAATGAGCACCTCCAGGCTCCAGCGGGTATTCAAGGGTGGCGCGCACTAACTGCTGGCACCATGATGTGATGCGCGCTAACTGCTGGCACCATGATGTGATGCGCGCTAACTGCTGGCACCATGATGTGATGGGGAAATTTACGTTGTTAGTTCTTCTGAACGAGCCCCTCCAAAGGGTACTAGTACTTGGAGGCTGCTCTTGCCACCTGTTGGCTCACACATCATAGCATCAATACGCGCAATGCTCTTGTGAATGAGCACCTCACGAGGGCGCTATTACTCGCGGGTGGCGCCCGTCGAAGCGGCAATCAGTATCCATTCCGTGTGCTTCCCTCGACTCACGATGTGGTTGATGTGTTAGAATATAACATTCTCTTTATCCTTCATAGTTTCTTATAATTGGGTATATATATATATATAACCAAGTTGGGCTATCTAGGGGTGTAGATGAATGTTGGGGTTGGATATTCAACCAACCCTTGACCCCAACTATCGAGGTGTTCAATCTTGTTGATCTTCCACCAACATTATTGGCTCCTCAATTGTTGGTGCTCCAACCTTCCCAACCATCATTGGTCCAACCAATAATGGTTGGGTTGGTCAAGCCCCTCTTGACCTAGGATTGGCTCCCTAGGTATATAGCCCTGTACCACCTCCCTCTATAGTCAATTCTTCTCTCCACATTTGCTAACATGGTTATCAGAGCTTCTGGCTCACGCCCCGCTCGATCCTCCCTTGGTAGAAATTTCTCGCTCCTCTCCCTCTCCTAACTCGACTCTCACGCCAAGGAGTAGTCCAACTAGCTAGCGCAAATCACGCTAAGAGCTCCTAGCTCCCCGTTTCCCGCACCTCCCAAAGCGCATTTCGCGCTGTGCCCTCCTCCCCCGCTCCCGCGCATTTCGCGCCGTGCTCAGGCGCGTTTTGCCTCTGCGCGAAATTTCGTCGCGACAGAATTCGTCACGATGAATTTCCTCGAAGCGCCAATCGCGCTCACGGTCACCTCCCCGTTCCTTGCTCGGCGCCCACCGTGCCTGTGCGTCATCGCGCCCCTTCCCCGCTCTCTTAGCCGGCATTCCGCGCGACGAATTTCGCCGCTCGAAATTTCGTCGCGGCGGATTTCCATGCCAGCGCATTTCGCGCCAGCGCACTCCGCGCTCCCGTCCCTCGCTTGGCGTCACCTGCGCCTGCGCGCTCTCGCGCCCCTTCCTCGGTCGAAGGTCGTCCTCCTCATCATGACCACCGTGCCCGTCACGCCACGTCGGGACGGTCACGCCCGTCCCTCCCTCGCTCCTAGCACTGTTTCCGTCGCTGCGCTCGCTGCCTTCGTCACCGCCGCTGCCCTCGATGCCGCCGCTGCCCTCGATGCCGCCGCTGCCTTCGTCGCCGCCGCTCGCCACCCGCTCCGCCACAGCTGCTCGCCATCCGCCGCTGCTGCACCTCCGCACCTCCTTCCCCGCTGACCACACCTCCTCCCGCACTCCCGCGACTCCTCCTCCACTACCGCACCTCCTCCCCCGCTGCCGCACCTCCTTCCCCGCTGCCACACCTCCTCCCCCGCTGCCGCACCTCCTCCCCCGCTGCCCCACCTCCTCCGCCGCTGCACCACCTCCGTCCGCCGCTGCACCACCTCCTTCACCACCTCCTCCCCCGCTGCACCACCTTCTCCGCCGCTGCCTCACCTCCTCCTCTACTACACTCACACCATGGCGGCCGATACACCCACCATCGACATGAGCTCCATCGACCGTCTTGTCCTTCGCGACGGCACCACTTCGGTCAACTGGCATTCTTTCGCACAAAGCCTCCACACTCTCCTCAGCTCCACCGTCATCATCGGTTACTACCTTTCCGACATCGTCTTCGGCAAACCGGAAGGAAGGGCGCCGACAGCACCGGTTCAGCCCTCCCTCCTTGCCCCCATCTAGGTCCGGCTCCTGTCGCGCCGCGCGTACCGGCCTATATCGACAACCCGGACCGATGGGCGCGCGCCATGAACGCCTACACCCAGGAGCATCACGCATACGTTGTCCAGCACGAGGCCTACGAAGCTGCACTTGCGGCACACACGGCTAGCTCCAACCGGCGTCAGGTGCAAGAAACCGCCGCCGCTCGGTACGCTACCGAGACTAGTGAGTACAACGCTCGATTTGCCGGCTGGCGCGTTGCTCACATGAAATCTCTCAATCTCCTCCTCGCAAGTATTCCCGATTCTCTTAAGTGTGCGCTCCGTCCCTCCAATGCTGCTCTCCTTTGGAACCAGCTCACTCATGATTATGACCGCCAGGACCTGCGCTCCCTCCTTGCCCTGCACCATGAATTCCACACTATCACCCTTGACTCCTGCCCTAAAGCAGCCACTTTCACCCGCCGCCTCACAGACACAGCCAAACGTCTCAACGATCAAGGAGGCGCCATCAGTGATTCGGTCGTCATGTGGCGCCTCCTCGACAGCCTCACCCCAGCTTATGCCACCCACAAGATTGCCTTCACCACTCCCCTCCGTGAACCACCCACATCCGCCCGAGTAATCGAATGGATCCTTGAGACGGAGGCGGACCTCGACGATACCACCACCACAGTCAATTCCGCCCAGACTGGGGGAGGACATGGTGGCGGACGTGGTGGAGGGCATGGCAATGGCGGACGCGGTGGTGGCCGAGGAGGCGGACGTGGTGGCGGCCGTGGCACTCCCCACTCCTCCCCCTCTGGAACCCTCCCCCCATGCCAGTACCTCATCCGCTATGGCTCCCTCAAAGGTCAGCGCTGCCATCAGACCACTCACTCTGCTGCTGCCTGCTTCAAATGTCTCACAGATGAGTGGTTTGCTCGTGGCAACCACGGATCTCCTCCCCGCTGGTCCACGATCATCCCTCTCCCCACTCCTCATGAAGTAAAAACCTTGCCCGCTTATCAGCCCTCCACCTCCAATTTGCACCAGGTCCTCGCCTAGCACTTGACCCCTCAGGCCCTCCAGCAGGTACAGCACCTACTACCACCCTCCGCCACTCCTCCACCCTCCACCTACCCCCCACAGCAGCATGTCCACCAGCAGCCGCCGCTTCAGCAACCCACCTGGCCGCCCCAGCCATATCAGCCGCAGCTGCTGCAACAGCCCCAGCAGCACCTGCTGCCGCAGTACCAGCAACACTACCAGCTCCTCCTCCCTCGGCACCTCCCCCCCAGCCGCCGGCTCATTGGGAACATGGCACTGCTGCCGCTGCAGCTCACCTGGCTGTGTACCCAGCTAGCTCTACTCCCCCAGGCTTCTTGCCTTTTCCGTCTACTGGCTTTGTCGGTCAAGTCACTCAGTCCCCTCCTGTTCCCGCTTCCACTCCTGTGTATGCTGATGCTATTAATACCACCTCGTTCCAGTACTCCGCACCCCCCACCATTGACTTTGTCATTGACAGTGGTGCAACTGACACTGTCTTACGAGACGCAGGTTCTCTAACCCGCCTCCTTCTCCCCTCTACCATCCTAGGTGCCGACTCCAGCTTTTCCGTCCTCAGTCACCATGCCTCCACTCTTCCATGCGCCCTCTTTCCCTCAAGTACCGTCACAGGACTTCATATCCCATCCTTCCGCACTAACCTAGTCTCCCAACACGCTCTTCAAAAAGCCGGCGTCACCACAGTCTATCCAGGTTTTTCCTCCCACTGTGACCTCTATCACACACGCACTGGTAAACTCCTTTCATGTGTTCCCCTCTGCCCCTCCACCCGGATGTTCACATTCCGCGCCCCCCACCCCTCCCACTGTCACGCTGTCAACCACAACCCACCATCCCCCCTCTTCCCCGTCACTCCTCCTAGCCCACCTCCCCAACCTCCCCCCGACCCTCTACCTTCCCAATGTCACTGCCGTGACCTTTCCCATCCAGCTGTCCTTCTCCACCACCGCCTTGGACATCAAAACTTTGCCACCCTCCACAAATCCATTGCCTCACGTCTCCTCCTTGGTCTCCCCCTTACACTTCCCCCACTCCCTCCTTCCCCTGCCCCTCCATGTCTCACCTGCACGCAAAGCAAGCTCAAACAAAGCCCTCACAAAAGCAATCCCACCTTTTCTCCTGCCCCCATCGACCTGGTCCACGCATACCTCTGAGGCCCCAACCCGACTCCCACTCGCCAGGGTCATCGCTACCTGCTCCTCCTAGTGGATGATCACAGTCGGTACACCTCGGCCGAACTACTTCGCACTAAGGTCGAGGCCCCGGCTGCCATCATCACCTGGGCCAAGTTGGCACGGACCCACTTCGGACGACCTGTCTGCCGCCTCCACTCGGACAGCGGAGGCGAGTTCCTTAATCACACCCTCTCTAACTATTGCACCACCCACGGCATCCGCCACACGTACACCCTTCCCCACTCCCCCCAGCAGAATGGCGTGGCAGAAAGCAAGGTCCGAAAGTTCACCAAGATTGCTCGGTGTCTCCTTGTCCATGCCTCCTGCCCACCCTCCCTCTAGGGCTATGCCCTCCTGCACGCCTCCTATCTCCTTAACCTTTACCCCCATGCCCACACCCCCTCCACCACTTTCACTGAACTTTGGACCTCCTCAAAGCCAGACATCCATCCCCTCCATGTCTGGGGGTCCAAGGCCTACGTCCTAATCCTCCCCCCTGACCGCTCGCGCACTGCCGGCAAACTTGCCTCTCTGTCGTGCTTCTCTCTTCTCTCCCATTCACTTCACCTATCCTTTCTCATTGCTTCTCTTTCCCCCTTGGTGTCCCTTCCGCCTTTGGTAGGTTATCACTGGAGCTGTAGGACCGAGCTCTCCATGTTACAAGCCGCCCGCCGCCTGCTCGGATCTACTTAAGATCGAATTCCCGCACTCCTAGACTCCAGTAGGATT